TATGAATATGTATATATATGTATGTATGTGTATATATATATATATGAATATGTATATATACATACACACATCCTCACACACACAATCCCACCGCATCCCCCCCCCCCCTACGCACACAATTATCCACCTGCTATAGATGACTGAGCAACCATCTCCTCCTCCCCCCCCCGTACCCCCTCCCCCTCTCCTTCCCCTCTACCTCTCCTTCCCCCTCTTCCTCCTTCCCCTCCTTCCCCCCCTACCCCTCCCCCTCTCCTTCCCCCCTCCCCCTCTCCTTCCCCCCTCCCTCTCCTCCTGCCTCTCCCCTCTCCATCCCCCCTCCTTCTCCTTCCCCCTCCCCCCTCTCCCTCCACCCCCCCTGCCCCCCACAATGATGTTCACGGGCGTCTTCTCGAGTAACGGAACAGGCGAGCGGAACCTTCGGGCGTTACTTTGCGGGAAAATGTTCCTTCCACACTACGGATCTTTGTGCCGTTACCTTGGCGAGGAGTGAAGATGATTTAAGGTTTTATTGTTTTTTTTTCTTTCTTTCTTTCTTTTTTTCTTTCTCTCTCTCTCTCTCTCGGTCTCTTGTTCTTTTCTCTCTCTTTCTCTCTCTCTCTCTCTCGGTCTCTTGCTCTTTCTCTCTCTTCTCTCTCTCGTCTCTGCTCTTCTCTCTCTCTTCTCTCTCTCTCTCTCTCTCTCTCTCTCTCTCTCTCTTCTCTCTCTCTCTCTATTAGATTGTATCTCTCTCTCTGTCTCTGTCTCTCTCTCTCTCTCTCTCTCTCTCTCTCTCTCTCTCTCTCTCTCTCTCTCTCTCTCTATATATATATATATATATATATATATATATATATATATATATATATATATATAGATAGATAGATATATATATATGTGTGTGTGTGTGTGTATATATATATATATATATATATATATATATATATATATATATATATATATATATATATATATATATGCATATATATATATATATATATATATATATATATATATATATATATATATATATACATATATATATATATGTACATATTAATTTATGTGAAGATTATTTAAGATTTTACTATTATATTTCTTTTTTTCCTATTTTCTTTTTTTCTTTCTCGATTTATTTGTTATTTTTTCATATTTCTTATTATTTCTGAATGTTTATGATTGGTGTTAGGGTTGTATCCCTTCCTTTTATTTCCTTTCGTTCTTTTGTTTATTTGTTTGTTTTCATCTTTATTATTTGGCGCCTAGTTTTTTGTTTGTTTTGTTTTGTTTTGCCAATTCTAATTTTTGTTATAATTTTCGTTACTTATGAATATTTAAGATTGGTGTTATATCTTTTATCTTTTCTTTCTTTCTCTGTCTGTTTACTTTTTTGTGTGGTCTTTATTCAGCTGTTTTTAATCTTATGATAATTTTCGTTAGTTAGCGGATATTTAAGATGTCATGGATCTTTTGGCTGTTTTTTCTTTTTCTTTATTTATCTATTTTCATTGTGTCATTATTTCCGAATATTTGTTTTAAACAAGAAAGAATACGAATTTATGCATATTATCTCTCACAAATTTTCTATAGTAATTTTGTACTTTTTCTTTTATTTATATTTATTCTCTTGTCAATGGAAAGGCTTTTTTTGGGGGGAGTGGGGGTTAGGATAAACTATATCTGACAATCTACAATAAACAGACGACCAATATATCATGTACTGTCGTTGTAACTAAAATCAGGTGCAGTTACTATCGTCTGTCTCTCATGTACTATAGACTTGGGCCTGTAACGCGGAGCAGATTCATTTAACTACAGTCAGCGCGCTACAGGCTCTAACAATAACTGAAAACAGCTGCAACATAGGCTATAACGAATTCAAAGTAGGTGCAGTTTGTTAGTGCTAACTGTCCCCTTGGTAAATACAAGTGGTTGTTAGTAGGGAGTGTCTGTATCTTCCTGTACAGTACCATAGGTTGTAACTGTACCTCGATGCAGGTGCAGTCAGTGAGGTGTGTCTGAAGTAGGCAGCAAAGATTGGTGATTTTTTTTTTTTCGTTTTTCATTTCTTTGTATTTCATGAGCATTTTATGCATTGTGATTTCGGGTAATTTTTGACGAAATTATTTGCACTTGATAAGAAGTACGTTTTTGAAAGGAGAGGATATGGAAGAAGAAGAGGCAGTCTGTTATAATGAATAAAATTTCAAAGTATTTACGATAATAAAAAAAAGTCAAGCTATTGATATATTGCACCATAAGCATAATACATTCACTGATAAAGAGAAAAATTACTCCCCACATAGATACCCTCCCCACACCCCCACCACATACATACCCCCACACCCCCACCACATAGATACCCTCCCCACACCCCCACCACATAGATACCCTCCCCACACCCCCACCACATACATACCCCCACACCCCCACCACATAGATACCCTCCCCACACCCCCACCACATACATACCCCCACACCCCCACCACATAGATACCCTCCCCACACCCCCACCACATACATACCCCCACACCCCCACCACATAGATACCCTCCCCACACCCCCACCACATAGATACCCTCCCCACACCCCCACCACATACATACCCCCACACCCCCACCACATACATACCCCCACACCCCCACCACATACATACCCCCACACCCCCACCACATAGATACCCTCCCCACACCCCCACCACATACATACCCTCCCCACACCCCCACCACATAGATACCCTCCCCACACCCCCACCACATACATACCCCCACACCCCCACCACATACATACCCCCACACCCCCACCACATAGATACCCTCCCCACACCCCCACCACATACATACCCCCACACCCCCACCACATACATACCCCCACACCCCCACCACATAGATACCCTCCCCACACCCCCACCACATAGATACCCTCCCCACACCCCCACCACATAGATACCCTCCCCACACCCCCACCACATACATACCCCCACACCCCCACCACATAGATACCCTCCCCACACCCCCACCACATAGATACCCTCCCCACACCCCCACCACATAGATACCCTCCCCACACCCCCACCACATAGATACCCTCCCCACACCCCCACCACATAGATACCCTCCCCACACCCCCACCACATAGATACCCTCCCCACACCCCCACCACATACATACCCCCACACCCCCACCACATACATACCCCCACACCCCCACCACATAGATACCCTCCCCACACCCCCACCACATAGATACCCTCCCCACACCCCCACCACATAGATACCCTCCCCACACCCCCACCACATAGATACCCTCCCCACACCCCCACCACATAGATACCCTCCCCACACCCCCACCACATACATACCCCCACACCCCCACCACATACATACCCCCACACCCCCACCACATAGATACCCTCCCCACACCCCCACCACATACATACCCCCACACCCCCACCACATACATACCCCCACACCCCCACCACATAGATACCCTCCCCACACCCCCACCACATACATACCCCCACACCCCCACCACATAGATACCCTCCCCACACCCCCACCACATACATACCCCCACACCCCCACCACATACATACCCCCACACCCCCACCACATACATACCCCCACACCCCCACCACATACATACCCCCACACCCCCACCACATACATACCCCCACACCCCCACCACATAGATACCCTCCCCACACCCCCACCACATACATACCCCCACACCCCCACCACATAGATACCCTCCCCACACCCCCACCACATACATACCCCCACACCCCCACCACATAGATACCCTCCCCACACCCCCACCACATACATACCCCCACACCCCCACCACATAGATACCCTCCCCACACCCCCACCACATAGATACCCTCCCCACACCCCCACCACATAGATACCCTCCCCACACCCCCACCACATAGATACCCTCCCCACACCCCCACCACATAGATACCCTCCCCACACCCCCACCACATAGATACCCTCCCCACACCCCCACCATACTCCCCACATAGATACCCTCCCCACACCCCCACCATACTCCCCACATAGATACCCTCCCCACACCCCCACCACATAGATACCCTCCCCACACCCCCACCATACCCTCCCCACACCCCCACCACATAGATACCCTCCCCACACCCCCACCATACTCCCCACATAGATACCCTCCCCACACCCCCACCATACTCCCCACATAGATACCCTCCCCACACCCCCACCACATACATACCCTCCCCACACCCCCACCATACTCCCCACATAGATACCCTCCCCACACCCCCACCATACTCCCCACATAGATACCCTCCCCACACCCCCACCACATACATACCCTCCCCACACCCCCACCACATACATACCCCCACACCCCCACCACATAGATACCCTCCCCACACCCCCACCATACTCCACCCATAGATACCCTCCCCACACCCCCACCATACCCTCCCCACTCACCGCCACAGCCCCCACCACATACATACCCCCCACCCCCCACAGAGATACCCTCACCCCACCCCCACCATACCCTCCACACTCATCCCCACACCCCCACCACATAGATACCCTCCCCACAACCCCCACCATACTCCCCACATAGATACCCCCACACCCCCACCATACCCTCCCCACTCACCCAAACCCCCCACATACACCCCACACCCCCATACACATACCACCACATACATACCCTCCCCACACCCCCATCACATACATACCCTTCCCCACACCCCCACCACATACATACCCCCCCACCCCCACACCACATACATACCCCCACACCCGCACCACACACTCCCCACATAGATACCCTCCCCACACCCCCACCACATACATACCCGCTCCACACCCCCACCATACCCTCCCCACACCCCCACCACATACATACCCTCCCCACACCCCCACCATATACCCCCACATACTCAGCCAGCCTCCCCCCCTTCTCCCCCCCACCAGATACATCCCCTACGTCGCCTGTGTGATCAGCTTGAAGATTTATGTCATGATGCTTCTCTTGCACAAGCGAGACTATGCTCCGGACTATGCTGACTATGATGACTATGCTGCGAGGCTTGGGAGCGAGAGGCAAGCGGCGAGTCGGGGGGAGTGAGTATGCTCGAGTTTGTTTGGGTTTGGGTTTCTTTTGTTTGTTGTTTTTTTGTTTGTTTGTTTGGGTTATTTGTTTGGTTTTCTTTTGTTTGCTTGGTTTTCTTGTTTGTTGTTTTTGTTTGGTTGGTTTTCTTGTTTGTTTTTGTTGCTTTTGTTTAGATTGTTTTTCTTGTTTTCGTTTGTTTTTTTGCTTATTGTCTTTGTTTGCCATTGTTTGATTGTTTTTTATTTCTTCGATTTCGTTTTTCTTCTTGCTTTTTTCTTATCTGGTTTACTGTTTTTTTTTGTTGTTTTTTTTTTCTTTGAGTTTGCATTTTGTTTTATCCTTGTTGGTTGTGGCGGCGTTTTTTGTTTCTTGTTTATATAGTTGTTGGTGTTTTATGGGTTTATATAATTTTTTTTGTTTCTTATATATTTTTTAGTTTGGTTTTCTTTTTTTTCTTTCGTGTTTTGTTTTCTTGCTTTTTCTTGTTTTGTTGTTGCAGTGGCGTTTTGTTGTTCTGCTTTTTTTGTTATTCCCTTATTGTTATTTTTATCCCTTTTTTCATTATGCCGTTATTTTTTTCTACTGTTGTTCTATTAAGTTATTTTAATATTCATTCCCTTATGTTTTTTTTACTTCCTTTTGTAATGGTTATTCTGTTCTCCTTTTATTCCATTTTGTTCTCTTCTCCATTGCTTATTTTTAAGTGTTATTATTATTGTATTCTGTACTGTTATTTATGGCTTTGTGTTGAGACTAAGTTGTAGTTTCTCCTGCTGTTCCTTTTTCATCCTGATGGTATTTTGTTCTGCTACGATTATTAATTAATTATTTTGCAGAAGTAGCATCATACACTCGCACGCGCGCGCGCGCACGCACGCACGCACGCACGCACGCACGCACGCACGCACGCACGCACGCACGCACGCACGCACGCACACACACACACACACACACACACACACACACACACACACACGCGCACACACACACATGTATATTTATAAATACATATATGTATATATATGCGAATATATATATATATGTATATATATGTACCCCGCCCCCCAGCCCCACCACCACCACCACGACAACAGCCGCGCCGGAAGATCCCTTTTGGGACGAGAAGCAGAAGATCCTGTCGCGCTTGAACGAGACGGTCCTTCAGCCCAGCGCCTTCAACAGGACACCGGAGACCATCTGGCTCTTCTACAACCGGATCCCTCGCACGGCCGGACAGACGGTGGTGTCTCTCCTGAAGTCCTTGTCGGCAGACCTCGATTTCCAACATCAGGAACATGTTTACAGGACGCCTTGGCAACGGTGAGGGTAGTCTTCAGTTCCGTTGGTTGTTGGTTCATGGGTAGTAGAAATAAATACGTTAGGTGTCAATGGGTAATTATTAGAAGAAATAAATGCACTAGATGTCATTGGTTAATGGTTTGTCGGTGGTGTGTGTGAAGTTAAAAAGAGAGACGGAAAGGAGGGAGGGAAAGAAAGAGAGAGAAAAAAAAATAGTAAGAGATGGAGTGACATAAAGAAACAGAGAGACAGACAGACAGACAAAAAAAATCCATCTTTCCACCGTAACCTTTATTTCTCACTTTTTCCCCTCAGTCTGATGAGCGAAGAGGAACAGAAAAATTTGGCCACGTGGTTCGAGTACAACTTTTGGCCCAAAAGCTACGACCGATTTTCTCTCTTCATCAACTTTACGGAGCATCGTAGGTGAGTACGTGCGCCACACACGAGCGTAAATATGTACATATAAATATTCACACGCACACGCACGCACGCACACGTACGTACGTTAGGTGCCTCCCAATTTTTTTTAGTTCTGAAACTAATTATAAAACTGAAATCGCCACTTTGTCCATAAGACTTTTAGATCATTGAAAAAAAGCAACAAATTAATAGAACTGTGGTTTTAGATTATATATTTCATCTTTCCCCTATCACCATCATCATTCTCCTCCCCTTCTTCCTCCCTCCTCCCTCTTCCCTCTTCCCTCTTCCCTTCTCCCTCCTCTTCCCTCTCTTCCAACTCTTCCCTATTCCCTCTTCCCTCTCTTCCAACTCTTCCCTATTCCCTCTTCCCTCTTCCCTCCTCCCTCCTCCCTCCTCTTCCCTCTCTTCCAACTCTTTCCTATTCCCTCTTCCTCCCTCTTCCCTATTCCCTCCTTCCTCCTCTTCCCTCTCTTCCAACTCTTCCCTATTCCCTCTTCCTCCCTCTTCCCTCCTCCCTCCTCTTCCCTCTCTTCCAGCTCTTCCCTATTCCCTCTTCCTCCCTCTTCCCTCCTCCCTTTTCCCTCTTCCCTCCTCCTCCCTCCTCCCTCTTCCCTCCTTCCTCTTCCCTCCTTCCTCTTCCCTCTTCCCTCTTCCCTCCTCCCAACCATCATATTTTTTTACCTATACACCCCCAGGTTGGCAAGAGAAAAAAAAGGTAGACCCATAACACGTTATAGTCATGACATCAAAGAGATCAGTGGCTTGAGTTTTGCTGAAATTTGTACACTCTCACAGAATAGAGATACTTAGAGGACCACGGCAATTCAGCAATGAATTAACCGTTCTATGATGACACCCCCCCCCCATACACAGCCCGTACGTGAAACTCCGCCCGGCCTACATGACCCTGGCACGCGACCCTGTGGACAAGTTCATCTCGTATTTTCGCTTCAAACGCGTCGACAGCGAAAGAGTCAAGACCGAAATGTCGGCGAGGGAGCGACAACAGCCGGGGACAGGTCGGTGGATGGTCGAGGATGTTGATTAGGGTGGGTGGGTGGGGGTGGGGCGGTGGAGGATGTTGATTAGGGTGTGTGTGTGGGGGGGGGGGGGGGCGGTCGAGGATGTTGATTAGGGTGTGTGTGTGTGTGTGTGTGTGTGTGTGTTAGTGTGTGTGTGTGTGTGTGTGTGTTAGTGTGTGTGTGTGTTAGTGTGTGTGTGTGTGTGTGTGTGTGTGTTAGTGTTAGTGTGTGTGTGTGTGTGTGTGTGTGTGTGTGTGTGTGTGTGTGTGTGTGTGTGTGTGTGTGTGTGTGTGTGTGTGTGTGTGTGCGTGCGTGCGTGCGTGCGTGTGCATGTGGAGGAGGCGTATGTGTTTGGGTGAGGCAGAGAGGATGGGTGGGTATATGGATGAATATGGGCGTTTAATGTTTAACATTTCAAACAAAATTAAAGCGACTGCCACCAAACATTTTCACACCATTCGACACCCCTCCCTTTTTCCCCAGGGCGCAAGTGGTACTGGAAGAAACTCGAGGACTGTGTACTGAAGGATGACCCCGAGTGTGAATTTCATGAAGGGTCCGAGAACTTCATCTCGACAATTCCTTTCCTGTGTGGACAGCATGACTATTGCCTGTAAGGATATTTTTTTTAAGAGAAATGGGTATTAGAGGCAATTTGTGTGTAATGTGTAACAGATAAATATATAGATATTTGTATTGATATTGAAAAAGGTAAATAGATACATATACAGCTAGACATTTTTTTTTTTTTTTTTTAAGCTTCATCTGTGATAGAGCCTTTATTTATTTACGGGTCTGTACTTACTAAAATAGACCCATTCCCCTTCAGACCCTTTTACCCATTCATTGATTATTAATATATACTAACTTCTACATTTTACTATCCATATCATTCAAAATAAGCCAAAAAAAAAAAAAGTACCTTCATTCTGATTCACAAATTGCATATTCAACTTATCCTAATACACGCCCATTCCCCTTCAGAAAACACGGTAATTCATGGGCTCTCCAAAAGGCAAAATTCAACGCAGAATATGAATACTCCGTGATTGGCCTCGTGGAGCACTGGAACACAACACTGGCAGTCCTTGAGCATTTCCTACCCAGCTTCTTCCAGGGCGTTCAGCAGCGTTATTGGGAAGCAGGTGGATGGGCATAAGATTTATATAATGATATATTCATAGTATTTATCATATTTGTAATAAAATATAATTTTCTATGAACTGGTAGAGTGTTAAAGATGTTGACTACCTCAAAGATTGGATAATTTAGATGTCTAGTTATATTTCCTGTGTACAACCAGTGACAAATAAGGAAGAAAACACATTTTTTTTTTTATGTTACATGAGATATTCATACTTGAGAGTTTTGAATGTGAAATCCCTGTTGCTAATACTGTATTTTTTTTCTTTAGTAAATCTTCTAAATAATAGGCATAAATTAATTCTATATGAAAAAAGCAAGGATTATAACATTATAGACACAAGGGATTTAGTACAGAAAAAAAAATATATAACCAATGAAATTATTTAAACTTTAGCAAATGGACTTTCTAACCCCATAGCTCATGCCCTCCACCCTTTTCCTTCAGGCTTCAAGGACCAACGTACAGTCAACAAGAATCCAAAGAAGTACAAGCCAGTCTCTGAAACTGTCCTCAAGATCCTCAAGGACAAGCTGGCCCTTGAATACGAGCTTTACGAGTTCCTCAAGCAGAGGCTTCACCAGCAGTTCGACAGTATTGCCGATCTCCTAAAGCTCCCGACAACCAAGATTCATTCCAGGTCGACGGAAAAGGCAGCCTTGAGCTCATGGGATAGAATGGATATAGAGCTCAGGCATTAACCTTTTTAATTCCAGGGGACCATCTACATCACCATCACTAGATTTAGGAATAACACAGTCATGGATTTTGCCTCTCATTCCATGGTCTTTCAGGCTTTCATGCTTTCATACAAGACATACTTCTTGCTTCTAGAAAATGTATTTCTATAAACTGCTCTGAATAACAGGCCAAAGTAATAATTTATTACTTAAATACTGAACAAAATTTGGGAATCAAGCATTTCCAGGCTTCAGATGGGGGGGGGGGGGGGGGGGGACAGAGCTTGTTTCTTCAGGTATGTTTTAAACTGAGAACTGCCCAGTTAACAAATACAACCATCCTTACAGTATGCAATAAATGATAAAAATGGAATTTCCTTAATGCAATTTTTGCACTTATAAACAAGACAAGATATCAGATAATCTCATAACACAGTACCTCTTGCATAGCACAAAAAACTGTTTATTAACACTTTTGAGTATAGTGATAGAAGAAAGCAGAATAAGAGTACTTAACTTCAAGAAGAAAGCAAAAATTATGGTATTCTTCAAGGATAAGATACATTGAAACTTCAAGATCATATTAGAGAAGAACTTCAACAAGTAAAAATACAATTATTTTGGCTTCATCTTAACCTAAAACTGCAGATGCAATATTGCCTGGAAGTTCTACATTCATCACAAAATGAACAAAATTCCATAGACAGACAAACTGCACTTGGAGAAAGAAGGAGCCTTATAAGAACAATCCACCGAAGACAATTGCATTGAAGAAATAGGTCAAAAAGGAAAAGGAAGGTCAAAAATGAAAAGAAAGACAGAAACAGGAATTCATACAGCATCTGGCATTCAGGAAAGGCTAGTGAAGGCTGAGTTGCTGCAGCTGGCGAGGGACGGGACTTTTTCCAAAAGACACTCACCAATGTCAGACTGATATGTCGGTACTTCAAGAAGACGCATTCACCTCCAAATGCCCTTAAATAAGTGGTGGTTGTTGCACTCAGTTGCACTTGTTGGTTTACAGAAAGCACATATAAATAGCCAATTAATAAATAGCCAAGTATTTGTATCATGAAGAAGTCTTAGAAGTAATCTATAAATATTTTTATAGAAGTACAGAGAAATTCTATTATTCAAGTTTCTTTGAGTCATTACTTGTTATCTTATGAAAAATAAACTATACCAGTGTATTATATCTGTGTATGTATAATGTCACATGCATTTTCTTTTGTAAATATATTTATACACTTTCATTAAAATAAACTATCTTACATATAGGGTACTTTTTCATTGATGTTATAGGTGGGTGATTCATGCTCGGGGTGATGTGAAGCGATGGTGTGGTAGCCTAGGTAGTGTTTGCATGCCTTCTCGCTTACAGCTGCCACCGCTGGCTAGCCTGGAGCGAAAAGGGAGCAGCTTTGCATAAGACTCCCCTGCCAGCTCATAGCCTCTCCATCATCAAGACTTCTACAGTGCCTCCTCGTGGCCACCCATGGAAACTAGGTACCTTGCAGTCCTAGGCTGAACTGTGGAGGCTCTTGGAGCAGCAGGAGGCCCTAAAGGTATGGAGTCATGGCCCACCAGTGTGTGGACACGGAAAGTTTAAGTATTTTACCGAGATCTCCGGGTTTGATTGGCACCCCCTCCCCCCCAAAGAAAATATATAGATAACAAATATATGAATAAATAAATAAATATATATGTGTGTGTGTGTGTGTGTGTGTGTGTGTGTGTGTGTGTGTGTGTGTGTGTGTGTGTGTGTGTGTGTGTGTGTGTGTGTGTGTGTGTGTGTGCGTGTGTGTGTGTGTGTTTGTATAGAAGGCCACTATCAGTAAGCGTAAACTGTGGCATTATTGTCTCTACCCACTGCCATACAGGTAGAGTCAATACTTGTCGTCAGCAACAACAAACTGCCTTCAGGAGTCCAGCTCCAGATTTTTCCTCAGGGTTGACTCCTGAAGCCTTTTCATCTTATAGATGCCACAATGCAGTGGATTGTTTTGTATAGGATGGACTCCCATACACTACAAGGCAGCAGTTGGGCACTGTATGAGGAAAACTGCAAAAGAGCCTTTATGAAACAATCAAAGGGTAGTAAGAAATGATAGTTGTAGAAGTAGGGGAAGAATCTAGAGGATGAGATAAGGGAACAGGGGAAGGCCGTGAAGTATCGGGAAGACTGTCGGGAGGGGAGGGATCCACAGATGGACGTTGTTGTGACATAAGGCAGTCATGTGAGCATCTAAGTGGGGGTGGTAAGGATAATGGGGAAGGAAGAGGGAATGGTGATGCTTATGGGGGAGGAGAGGATGGGGTGGTCTTTGGGTGAGTGGGAGAAAGAAGGGTTGGGGGGAACTCGAGGAGGAGGATGGAAATCAGCAAGTACTTTGAATGTTGAGCAAAAAGGAATAGAGGGATTAAAGGGTGGATGAGAGAGAGAAGCATTCTCTTGAGTCATGTTTAGGAACTTTTGGATGTCTTCAAAAGTTTCTGGAGGGGAGTTGGGTGGGGAGGTCTGACAAAGGTTTTCTTATGTGAAGGAGAAGAGGGAATAGAGGAGCAGAGGGAGAGGTGGGTGTAGGAGAGGATGTGGTAGGAGAAGATGGAGTGGAAAGTTTAAGATTGTGTGGTGCGATAAGTAGAGTGAAAAGGAGGTTTAAGATTGTGTGGTGCGATAGGTAGAGTGAAAAGGAGGAGGGTTAGGCATTGGGGCAATGGTAGAGATTGCATTATCTGGATTTAGGCTGGAAAAGGAATTTGACTGAAGAGAGAGAGAGATAGGATGGTTCAGGGTAGAGAGAAGAGATACTGGGAGAGATACTGAGACTTCTTAAGAAGATGGGAGGATAACGGAGCAAAGAACAATTTTGGAATAGGTAGAAAGAGAAAAACATCATCAGTGTGCTTCTCGTTTCACCTCACATAGAGTGAGACCTTGTTAGAATCTGAGAACTGCTACCTCAGACTCAAGCTTGTAGACAGGCAACTCCTATAAAATACATTATGGGAGCCACCATTATAAGCTTAATGAGGGAGATGATGTCTATTGAAGCTAATCTTGGCAGTATTGGTGTAGGACTTACATTGACCTCTGGGAGGACTAGTGTAGCACTGGACTGTGAAAGGAAACCTTGCCTACCTGTTTTTGGAAGAGAAGGGTATTTTAGAGTATGGGGCTGTAGGGGGAATCCCGAAGAATTGCTCCCATTTGTCTGGACCAAAAAGTGTACTCAAAAGGTGTGTAGGGGTGGATGCAGTAGAAGGACAACGGCAGTAGGAAGATGGGGTGGTATGGAGAGAGGAAGTACTGTTGGGAGGACAACAATAAGGATGAATAGTAGTGAAGAGGGGGGGTTGGCGTAGGCAATGAGGAAGACTATGCTGTAAATGGAGTGGAGGATGTTGGGAGAGAGGAAGGGGTGTTATCTGAAGGTTGGGTAATCACTTAGGTGGATGATTTGGAATGGATCAAGTTGACTGCAGATATTGAGGAGGGGGTATTAGTATCGGTGGTCTGAGCCGTGGTCAAAGGAGAGGCAGGGGGTCAGGAAAACCATGAAATCAATTCTAGATAGGCTAGTTGATAGAGGAGCAAGCCTTAATGCCCCTAATAATAGTAAAAAAACATTATTGGCCATGGAAATGGTCTAACCCTCAGGGTCCCCATGAGGGGTCAGGGCTAGGCAATTAACCAAGGGAATACCATGCCCATGGCTCCCAGAGGCCATTCACGACTGACACAAAACCAGCCTTTCATCCTTTCATCACAGCTCTCACACTTTAGCAAGTGGACAGAAGGGGGTAAAGAAGAGAAGGAAAAGGAAAGGGGGAGAAGAAAAGACCATACAAAATTAGTTAAGGCAAGTGCTGAGGTCCAAGGTAGGAGAACCAGTCAGTTATCAATTATCATTATCAATCAGTCATTTCTCTAGATACCAATTTCCAACAACAGACAATTATCAAATAATTATCATCACCAACTAGTCAGTTATCAATTATCATTATCAATCAGTCATTTCTCTAGATACCAATTTCCAACAACAGACAATTATCAAATAATTATCGTCACCAACCAGTCAGTTATCAATTATCATTATCAATCAGTCATTTCTCTAGATACCAATTTCCAACAACAGACAATTATCAAATAATTATCATCACCAACTAGTCAGTTATCAATTATCATTATCAATCAGTCATTTCTCTAGATACCAATTTCCAACAACAGACAATTATCAAATAATTATCGTCACCAACCAGTCAGTTATCAATTATCATTATCAATCAGTCATTTCTCTAGATACCAATTTCCAACAACAGACAATTATCAAATAATTATCATCACCAACTAGTCAGTTATCAATTATCATTATCAATCAGTCATTTCTCTAGATACCAATTTCCAACAACAGACAATTATCAAATAATTATCGTCACCAACCAGTCAGTTATCAATTATCATTATCAATCAGTCATTTCTCTAGATACCAATTTTCAACAACAGACAATTATCAAATAATTATCATCACCAACTAGTCAGTTATCAATTATCATTATCAATCAGTCATTTCTCTAGATACCAATTTCCAACAACAGACAATTATCAAATAATTATCGTCACCAACCAGTCAGTTATCAATTATCATTATCAATCAGTCATTTCTCTAGATACCAATTTCCAACAACAGACAATTATCAAATAATTATCATCACCAACTAGTCAGTTATCAATTATCATTATCAATCAGTCATTTCTCTAGATACCAATTTCCAACAACAGACAATTATCAAATAATTATCATCACCAACTAGTCAGTTATCAATTATCATTATCAATCAGTCATTTCTCTAGATACCAATTTCCAACAACAGACAATTATCAAATAATTATCATCACCAACTAGTCAGTTATCAATTATCATTATCAATCAGTCATTTCTCTAGATACCAATTTCCAACAACAGACAATTATCAAATAATTATCATCACCAACTAGTCAGTTATCAATTATCATTATCAATCAGTCATTTCTCTAGATACCAATTTCCAACAACAGACAATTATCAAATAATTATCGTCACCAACCAGTCAGTTATCAATTATCATTATCAATCAGTCATTTCTCTAGATACCAATTTCCAACAACAGACAATTATCAAATAATTATCGTCACCAACCAGTCAGTTATCAATTATCATTATCAATCAGTCATTTCTCTAGATACCAATTTTCAACAACAGACAATTATCAAATAATTATCATCACCAACTAGTCAGTTATCAATTATCATAACGTGGTAATATATCAAATAATTATCATCACCAACCAGTCAGTTATCAATTATCATTATCAATCAGTCATTTCTCTAGATACCAATTTCCAACAACAGACAATTATCAAATAATTATCATCAGTATCCTATTAATCATCAAACAGTTATCATCACCAATTAATCTGTTATGAAACCATCACTAACCTGTCAATTGAAAGCCAAATGCATCTTTGCCTTACTAACAAAAAAAAAAAAAAAGAAAAAAAAAATAGTTTTCCATTCACTTTACTTAATAGGTGATTGAGCCAAATTCAATGATGAAAACTCATTTTTATTTGTTTCAACATCAATAACATGAATTTCTTCAATTTCTAAGATGTATTCTTATCACAAACAAAATTTACTGTTTACTATATCTATAATAAAGCCTACAACATTTGTAAAAATAATATAGACTAAGCATATAAAAATATATAACATTTAAACAAATATCTGAGAATATGCAAAAAATAAGATTGCAAAAAATATACCTTTATACTATATACCTTTAATAATATTGTTCTCTTTCCCTTATCATTTTTTTCACAAATGGTATAAGAGTAAGACCCTATAACTTCAAAATCAAAAAAATAGTTTGTCATAAAAGTTCCCGAGGTACAGCAGAGGGGTTTCTTGTACATATCACTCCAATAGCAAAACCTTAAAACCTCTGGACCTTTAAAATCACAGTGCTACAAATATCACACTGGAATCATCTGTCTTTCTTGTGAATTCTTTTGTTTTCTCACTGATTGATATGGGGTTTAAAAAGCTTTCAAACAGATCTGGCATTTGTAGGGTCTGTTGACATGACCAATCAAATGATGTACCTAAATTGCTTCTCACCTGTTTTAAGTGACCATGTACACGCTGAACATTCACAGGGTCTTTCCTGTGTGCTTCCCCATGTATCTCAGGAAATCTGCTGACACCAAAAATAAGAAAAAACTGAACTGAAGTAAAGTCTCTTTTTAGCAAATACACTCTTCTCCTTGAATATACACATTCAAAGTCTTCAAACTGGATACCATATTCTTCTACTGTGTCAAAATCAGCTTCCTCCATGAAAAAATAATTTCTTCACAGCAACCTGACTTTATGCTTCTGTCTAACACCATCCATCAGGTTCACACATTTCTGGAATACATGGAAAGAGGTAAGTATATTCATTTTGTATTTAGTAAAAAAGGCATACCATGTGCACCTTAAATGATTATATTCATCAATGAACCTGGTCAGCTGTAGCAAAAGTTTAAATACTTTATGTGACTCTTTTTAGACCAATTAAGGATAAAATGATATACTGCCACATTTGGAATGACTTAAACATGATATCTCAAGACTGTCTAGCACTCCTCTCCTGAAAAACAAAATGGATTACTATTTCCAGAGAGGAGTTTTGGCCAAATCAAAAATGATCTATTCCATTTCCCACTATGGCAGTGTTCCATTTTATCTGTGCAGATGCATATCAATGCTTTTGAATTTCACTTCACTAGTTCTGAGAATTAAAAACCTACAAATTGAACACTGTACTTCTTTATCAGTGATTTTTACAATATTTTCATTTGCATTATCACAAATAAACCTAAAGCAGTCTACGTGATAGAGTTTTTCCCAACATTTCTGGAGTAAAGACGCTTCTTCTTGCTACATATGGCTACCATACAAAACTGAGAAATATACAAAATGTTTATAATGATAATAAGAACAAGGTATATAATGATATTAACAACACATAGACAGATAGATAGTTAGATAGATAGATAGACAGATAGAGAGAGATGGATGGATGGATGGATGGATGGATATAAAGATAGATAGGTAGATAGAGATATATAGACATATGGGAAGAGACAGACAGACATAAATGAAGACAAACAGACAGATAGACAGATAAATAGACAGACTGATACATAGATAAATAGAAAAATGAATAGCAATGGAAAATACCAAGATTTTCCACATCCATATGAAAAAATATAATAAAACATCAATTTTGTAAGTCAAATTAACTGTCTACTGTAAATAATAAAACAGATATAATCAGTAAACACTAAAAAAAACTTTACATTTGTTGTCTGAGCACCAAGAACTTACTGTAAAATGGAAGTATTACTTATGCTTTTGTTTTTTATCCAAGATTTAAAACCACTTTCCATTCTAGACTTTCATTTCTTATGCTGATAGTGGCAACTGAAGTAAAGCCAGTATATTTTCATTTATACATTAGACTGATATAATCTATTGTAATCAATTACAGAACACAACTTGTATATGGGTTTTACACCTATGGGTACCTGGTAAATATTCTTTACCAGGAACAGAATACATTTTTTTTTTAATATTCACTGCAGACTTTATAGTACTGACTGCAGGATATATTTTTACCTTCAAGGTCCTGGAGGAAAGCGCTGAGCCACGGCCAGGAGGAATGGGTGCATCCGCCTGCTTGTCTCCGGATACCGTAGCATGAAAGCTGCTTTTGCCAGAAAACCCTCATAGCAGTACGCACGATTCCCATACTGTGGCACCTTCCTCTTCGGCTTTTTCCTCTTATTTCCCAAATTGTTAGCATGAGGATCAGCCTCAAGGTCTACGTTATTCAGTTCATGGTTGGCTTCCAGATGTTGGAATTCTTCGTCCTGCAGAGAACTGTGACGTTTCCAACAGTTGTTTATCACCGTTGATTCTTGACACACCTTTTCTTCGATAACTGCCGAGAGGGAATCTTTGTCCCATTTGTCCACTTCAACTGCAAAGAACTCCTTTGTCTCACAGCAAAGGCCACCCATTACCCACATACTCTCGGTGATCCTGTCTTCCTTATTTTTCCTCTTTTTCAACTTCAATTCATCAATTTCGACTGTTAAGCCAGGGCCACCGATTTGTTTTGAGCTGTTCACTTGGCACCAGTGTATCAATACGTCTCTGCAATACGAAGACCACTCACTGATGGTTTTGTCTGATATTCCGGTGATTTCATCTCTGATTCCTTGGTATGAGAAGTAGTCTGTTAGATACATATATATAAACAAGACATTGCTCTCAATATCCAGATGACTGTTGTGAAGCCAGGTGTTGTGGTATACAGACTGTTGAAAGTTGCACCTCTGAGGCTTTTTCTTCAATTTACGGACCAGTTTTTGGCACTTGAATACCCTTTGGTTGAAGTAGAGCCGGCACAGCTCACCGCACTTTTTACATGTCAGCTGATCCCTGAGGACACCATGTCGCACTAAGTATTGGAAACACAGTTCGGCATTTCCTAAATACCTGTGTCCAAATGCAAGTAGTCCTAAATCACAGTCGGCACAGGATTTTTTAGCACTAGGCTCCAGCTCTTCTGTCATGGCGATGTTTCAGAGAGATTTTTAAGAAACTTCTTTAAGGACACACCGCCTGGCATACATGTCAAGTTAAGGAATCATGACATCTAAAAACCTGAAATAAGAAATATTTCAATTAAATACTCCATAATCGTTACTA